TCATAGTATAACTCATTAAGGACAGAGATCCTATATGGGGAGCAAGTCACAGTGACTCCAATTGTTGATTTAACGATTAACACTCTTATTTATGACATCAGTGATCACCAGAGGCTCTTGTCATGAGCTGCCAAGGTTATGGAACCCTGTTGAGTCCACAAACTCCCTCAGTATTTAAAACAGACTATAATCAAAGTGGAAGTTCTCTCCTCCCTTCAGAGAAAGGTACCTCCTTTAAAAAAAAAAAAAAAGATTTATTTTATTTATTTGAAAGAGTTACAGAGAGAGAGGTCTTCCATCCGCTGGTTCACTCCCCAGATGGCCACAATGGCCAGAGGTGCACTGATCCAAAGCTAGGAGCCAGGAGCTTCGTCTGGGTCTCCCACGCCGATGCAGGGGGCCCAAGTACTTGGGCCATCTTCTACCACTATCTCAGGCCATAGCAGAGAGCTGGATCAGAAGAGGAGCAGTCGGGACTAGAACTGGTGCCCATATGGGATGCCGGTGTTTCAAGCCAGGGCTTTAACCCACTGCGCAACAATGCCAGCCTCAGGTACCTCCTTCTTTGATGGCCCTTTCATCCCACTAGATCTTACAGAGATCTTTAACTTAGGTCATTTTCTGCCATAGTGTCTTGGCTTCCCATGCCTATCAGAAGGGTGGGACTGGTAACTAATTTAGTTTCTATTCTCATGATAAAACTAGAAACTCTAAAGGCAGCTTTTTGGGAAAAACAAACATTTTGTACCATCTTAAGAGATATGCCTTTCCTTATTCTGATTGGGATCAAGACTGTCACAATGGGAGAACAAGATGTAGTTCTGGGCTCCTGCCTTCAGCCTGGCCCAGCCCCAGCTACTGCAGGCATGTAGGGAGTGAACCAGCATATGGAAGATCTCTGTCTCCCTCCCTCTCACTCTGCCTTTAAAATATACAAGTAAATCTTTTTAAAAAATAAAAAGTATTCCTACTTCATTAGGTATGCTACAGAAGTTATTAAAAGCTACTATGGGCATCCCAAATGGGCAACAGTTGTCCCATCTGTTTTACTTCTGGTCCAGCTCCCTGCTAATGGCCTGGAAAAACAATGGAAGAAGGCTCAAGTATTTGTGTTACTAAAGAAAGCAAGGGTTCTTGTCTTCACCCAAGAAAGAATTCAGGCGTGAGACGGAGAGGAGTGGAAAGCAAAATAGCAAGGTTTTTTAGGTAGGGACATCTGTAAGAACGGATGGGCACCCCTCCAGACAGGACCTGAGAGACAGGTCAGACTGGAGGAGAGCGAGGTTACAGGGTTGAGTGGAGAGAATACACCTGGGGAGGCCAGGCGGGTGGCTCAGCTGAGAGGCAGAAGGCTAAGCAGGAAGTCTAGTTGAGGCGGGGGTGGGGGGTGGGGTGGGGGGGTTTAAGGGGATTGGTCTAGCCTTCAGCTTCTTCTCCTGGAACAAAGGACTTTTTGGATGTAAATACGAAAAATTCCTTTCTGAGATTTTTCTCCCCCAATTATCAGACAAGGGGAAGCCTGGCTGGCTTTGCCCCGCCTTAGAGGAGCCTTAGAGGAAGGATGGTTATCGGGTAGAAGGGGCAGGGCATTTGAAGTGCAGATACTGGGTTGTACCTGGAAGGTTATCAGGATGACTTTGAGATACGGATGCTGGACCTAGATGTCAACTCCTTAGGCCTTTGTCACACACATAAGCTCATTTCTGACTTCCTACCTAACATTTGGACCCCTGCCACCCACAAAGGAGACCCAGACACAGCTCCTTGGCTCTTGGCTTAGGACTGGCCCAGCCCTGGGTGTTGTGGCCATCAGGGGAATGAACCAGTTGATTAAAGTTACCTTTCTCTCTCTCTTCCTCTTTCTGCTTTACTCTTTCAAATTAAATAAATAATTTTTTTAAGTTACTATGGGGCAAGCTTTGGCTCAAAGGTTGACACTGCCTGGGACCCCAACATTCCATATCATAGTATCTGGATAGACTCCTACCTCCTCTTCTGTTCCAAGCTGTCTGCAAATGTGTACCCTGGGACAGCTCAAGTCCTTGGGTTCCTGTCACCCATGTGAGAGACCAATATTGAGTCTGGTCTCCTCTGATTTCAGCCTGGCCTAACTGTTGAGGGCATTTGGGGAGTGAACCTGTAGGAGTTGGAGAAAATGCCGGTTTTGCTCCTGTACTCTGGCTTGCTTGCTTGCCTGCTGTAGGGCCATGATAGGCCTCATCCTGGACCAGCAAGGAGGCAAGCCAGGTCCTTGAGAACAAAGAAAGTAAGTTCCCCTGGAATTGACCACCTTCTGGCCCCCACCAGCTCCCCTGGAATTTATGGCCCGATGCTTCCAGCCAGTTCCTCCCCGTGCCATCTCCGTTGTATGGCCCTCCCACCACATAATGTATATATTCTTTATGTTTAAATGAACCAATGAACATGTTAGGTCCCAATACCTTGCCATATAGAGAATAAGAAAGTAACCTACTTAGGGGATGACCTGCACCCTTCTAAGTGTGAGACTATAAAAACCTCTCTTATGCAAACGAGAGGGCCTTTTGCCTGAGCACGGCTAAATGGCTGGTAACAAATAAACCTCTCTGCTTTTGCATCCTCGACTGTGCATTGATTGGGAAATTCGGACTCAACAAACCAGCAGATGGAAGTACTCTGTCTCTGTGTCTGCCTATCAAGTAAAAAAGAATAAACAAAATTATAAGTTGCTGTACAGGTGCAGTGCGCTGGCTGCAGTACGCCGGCCGTAGCAGCCATTTGGTGGGTGAACCAAAGGAAAAAGGAAGACCTTTCTGTCTCTCTCTCACTGTCTAACTCTGCCTGTCAAAAAAAAAATAAAAAAAATAAAAGGAATCTAATGAATTACAAGAGCTGGGGAGGTGAAATCGGAAAAGACCCCCTAAAGTTTACCCTGAAATGTGGCCCCTTAAAGTTCCATAGAAATGCTATCCGGGGTGCCACATGTGTTACCGGAATTTGGGGTGCCTTACGATTTCACCACGGGCTTATTACTAAATCCCCGATTTTAATAAGCACAAGAGGGTTCTTGCCTAATGTTTAGAGAAGAATTCTAAATAACGGCACAGATAAACGAGGTAGCATGGTACGTATTAAGCTTTTATTTAAATAAGTAAGGTGCATAAGAGAGTGAGAGCTTATTTAGGGGAGAGAGGTGAATGGGGGTTCATACAGAGCACCAGGAACCAGCCATGTGGATGAGCATCTAGGCCAGGAAGCCTAGAGCACATGACCCAAAGGCCATGCACCCTGGAGGGGCAGGGCTACAGCAAGCCCTGTCCTGGCGAGAGGCCAGGGAAGAAGAGCAGGCCCGGGCACACTGTGCCCTAGGCTTTTAACCCACTCCAAAGGGGAGTGGTTAATTAACCTGATTGGCTGGTGGGCACCCCGGTATGGCCAGGTAGGGGAATGAGGCCACACGGGGCATGGCAAAGGCATCAGGTAGGAGCATGAGGTCACACAGGGCGTGGTCTTCCAGTTCACAAATCTGATCAATTTTAACCTGTATGCCTGCCTACTTCAGAGGGACATACAGTAACAAACAGAAGGTCATGTGAAGATGGAAGGAGAGACTAGAGTCACTGCTGCCAGAATCAAGCCTGGAGCTACCAATAGCTGGAAGAGGAAGGGAAGATTCTTCTCCACACCCTTCAGAGGGAACATGACCGTACCAATACTTTGAATTCTGTCATCTGGCCTGCATAACTGTGGGAACAAATTTCATTTTAGGCCCAACAACAAAATCCAAATATTGTCCATGAAATAAAAAAGAGAATATGGCTATTTTAAGATCTACTCAAATGATAGCATATGATGATCAATACTGTAAAATCCTCATCCCAGCTCAATTTAATCTGAAAAGTGATAAGTACATGCAAAAGGGAAGCTGTAGCGTTGTGTGTTGTGTTTAAAGCTTGCACAATAACAATGATACAACACAAACAATCCAACCAGTGCCAGGATATTCCAGTTAACAGCTCACCCTTTGCTGCTTCCCCTAGCTCCTCCCTCCCACCTGGGTCTACTTGAAGGGACTAGAAAACAAACTCACTAGGGGCCGACGACACAGTGGCTCACTAGGTTAATCCTCTGCCTGTGGTGCTGGCACCCCATGTGGGCGCTGGGTTCTACTCCAGGTTGCTCCTCTTCCAGTCCAGCTCTCTGCTGTGGCCTGAGAAGGCAGTGGAGGATGGCCCAAGTGCTTGGGCCCTGCACCCACATGGGAGACCATGAGGAAGCACCTGGCTCTTGGCTTAGGGTGGCGGCCATTTGGGGAGTGAACCAACGGAAGGAAGACGTTTCTCTCACTATAACTATATAACTTGACCTGTAAAATAAGTTAAAAAAAAAAAACTCACTAGAACACTTATCTTGATCAGACTGTGTTACTAAAATGATCCATGTTTGGGGGAACGTGGTATTAAATAAATTGTACTGTTTTAGTCTATTCTGCACTAGACTCCACCCAAATGGAGTTCAAGCTAAACTGTTTACCTGCACTTCCAAAGAAATCAGGAGGGAATAGATAACCAAATTCCCCAAACAGGTCAGTTTCAATGAGCATGATGAGGAAGTTCCCTCGGTTTTTAATCCTTACAAGAAAAAGCAACCTGATGTAAACTATTCAGTTGTTTTTCTGTTGTTCTGTCTTCACCTTACAAAGGAAAGTGACTTCTCAACAACCAGTTCATACTTTGTTCTTTGTTTCTGCTCTCTTCTGTCCTTCTAAATCTACATAACCACCTTCTTTTGTTTAGCTCAATAGAACAATCCATAATGGAAGATGACGATAAGGTTTTCTAAATAGTTATTTTACTAGGCTTAACTGGTTTAACCTCAAGTAGCAGGCAGTAGAGAAGTAGTAATGGAAAAATAAAGGTTCTATGCATTTAGAAACTGACTGAAAACCTATCAACTTTTAATACACCAAAGTAAGCCATTCAAAGAATTAATTAGCATATTTAACATAAATAAAAATAATCTATAAGCATAATCTTTTATTTTAAAATTCTACCTAATTAACAAAAAATCAATAAGTGTCCTGGCAACCAGCCCAACAGGTATTCTGTTACAAGGGCAAAAGTTAAGTAACAAAAAAAAATGCATAATTACATTATGTATTAATTTGAAGAAGAATAAAAAGAGAATTCTTATTTTGATTTACCCATCCAGCTATGACTTAAATCAAACATTTTGTCTTCTATAGATTTATAATACTTGCCCTTTACAGACCTAAAGTATTTAACAGAGAAGTGATTCTGTACAATTGGCTAGAAGACACCCAGAGGTCCCTAATGTCTCTAACTAGTTTTGAAAAATTTAAAGCAATACCTAGCTGTATCGAGTGGTCATTAAGATTTTAGTTCTGTTCCTTGAATTACATTCCGAATCTTCTCAGCATCGTGTTGTACAATTTTGTTGGATGGATCAATCTTAAGTGCAGCTTCATAATCCTGTAGGCCTGTATACACATAGCAATGATGATTGATAAAATAAGTACTTTATAAGTACTTCTCTTATCAAGCCAATATATTTAAAAATATTTTTTAAAAATAACTATTAAGAATATGGCACCAGGTTTTAAATCAGATGGTAGTTTCTTTTTTTTTTTTTAATATATTTTATTTATTTATTTGAGATGCAAAGTTACAGAGAGAGGAAGAGACAGAGAGAAAGGTCTTTTATCTGCTGGTTCACTCCCCAAATAACCCCAACAGCCAAAAGGAGCTGGGCTAATCCAAAGCTAGGAACCAGGCACTTCCTCCTGGTCTCTCATATAGGTGCAGGGGCCCAAGCACTTGGCCATCTTCCACTACCTTTCCAGGCCATAAGCAGAGAGCTGGATGAAAGTGGAGCAGCCAGGACATAAACTGGCACCTATATGGGATGCCAGCACTACAGGCAAAGGCTCAGACTAAGTCACAGTGCCGGCCCTGGTAGTTTCTCCATGAGACCGCAGAAATTTTCCAGTGGGCTGTTGCCACCCACAAAGGAGACGTGAATGGACTTAAGCCTCCTAGCTTTGGCCTGGACCAGATTTGGCTGTTCTGATCATTTTGAGAGTGAGCCAGTGGGTAGAAAACTCTCTCTCTCTCACTCTTTCTCTCTCTCTCTCCTCCTATCTACTGCTCTGTTTTTCAAATAAAAAAATTTTTTTTTTTTTTTTTTTTTTTAAAGAGAGGTCCTTGGGGCCGGCGCTGTGGCATAACAGGTAAACCCACCGTCTGCACTGCTGGCATCCCATATGGGCGCCGGTTTCAGACCCAGCTGCTCCACTTCTGATTCAGCTCTGTGCTTTATCCTGGGAAAGCAGTTGAAGATGGCCCAAGTCCTAGGGTCCCTGTACCCGTGTGGGAGACCCAGAAGAAGCGCCTGGCTCCTGGCTCCAGATTGGCACAGCTCCGGCCATTGCGGCCAGTTGGGAAAGTGAACCAGCAGATAGAAGACCTTTCTCTCTCTGCTTAACTCTTTCAAATAAATAAGTAAACCTTTAAAAGACAGGTCCTTGTAACTCAAAAAAGCCTCATGTTATAATTTCCAATGGATGTTTTACAATATTTCATTTGTATCATTGATGTGGGTTACACAGACAGAGTCAGTGAGGAACAAGGAGCTAAGGACTGCCAGCACCCAAGCCATGTGCATTGTCCTAATCCCATTACTTTCCATGCTGATCCACCATGGAGGAAGACCTCAGCACACCCACTTCTCATCATGCAGCCACGCCTCACCAACATCAACCACCAGACACCATGACACCTCTGGGAGATCACCATCTGCACTGCAGCCCAAACCCTTATCTTATATATATATTTTTTTTCTTGTAGAAGTTTTTTTTCTTGTAGAAGCTTTTATTTTTATTTTTTTCTCCCTTAATTATCTTATAAAAAGCTAATCTCACTCTAGGTGGGGACAATTCTCCCTCATGACATTGGCCACACTCATGTCTTGAAAGTATAATAGCCCTTTACCTTTCAATAAATTCTACTTTAGTCTCACCTCTATATCTATGTCATCTGGTTATATTCTTAAATACAAAGAGACAAAAACCTGGACTAAGTCTAGCTGGGGGTCTCTCCAAGACCAAGTAGAACTCTCAATCCTCCTAACATTTTTTTAAAGACCCACTATTTACTTATTTAAAAGTCAGAGCTAAACAGAGAGAGGAGAGGCAGAGAGAAAGAGAGGTCCTCCATCCACTGGTTCACTCTCCAACTGGCCGAAATGGCTGGAGCTGCATCGATCCAAAGCCAGCAGCTTCTTCTGGGTCTCCCACATAGGTGCAGGGGCCCGAAGACTTGGGCTACCCTCTACTGCTTTCCCCGGGCCCGAAGACTTGGGCCATCCTCTACTGCTTTCCCAGGCCACAGCAGAGAGCTGAACCAGGGAAATGGAGCGGCTGGGACTCAAAATGGCGCTCATATGAGATGCCGGCACTGCCGTTGGCAGGTTTACCTGCTACACCACAGCACTGGCCCCAATCCTCCTAACATTAATTGGGTCCCATCTTCACAACTTCTTGGCCATTTTTATCCCATGATTTGGATAAAGACATTATAAAAAAAAGTATAAGACATAAAAACCTAATTTAGATGCTTGGTCAAAAAAATAGTGAAATAAAATTTAAAAATAAAATCAGAAAAAAATAACCTTTATAAGTTAGAGCCCATTTCTTGGCAAGGCATCATCCAGAGGAGGCCTTTGGGACTTGAATAAAGGAAAACTAAAGGGACATCTGGGCAGGAAGGTATAAAAAGAGAAACATTAGAGATATATTAAAGAATTTTGCTTTTGCGGCAATATGAGTAACTAAAAATAGTTCAAAAATATATTCAAAATGAAAACATTAAGATAGAAGAAATGGCGTGACTTCTAAACACACAGGGCTGAAGTACAGACCTCAGTACATTATTATAAATAAAGCAATGTCCATGATTGTGATAGATCAGTTGTTTCAGAGCTCATGCATGTGTTTTTGTGTGTGTATGATATTATGACAAAAGCAGCTCATTTAAAAATTTTCATTACTGTCTCAAGGGAATAGTTTATACCCTTTATCATACATCTTTCTGTAGAAAAGTTGTCTGATAACACAGCATTTTCCTAGAACTAACCCTGTTTTTCACATCTTGCTTCAACTCCTTTCTAGAGTGGATTTTAAAAGATGCAATTTCAAAATCATTTATTTTATCAAATATATTGCAAGGAACAAATTTAATCCTAAAAATATGAGACTCCTAAATAGTCATGATCCTAAATAATCCCAATGTCTTTTTTTAAGGTGTAACTTTGAACTTGAAGTATTTCTATCAATTTCTTACCTTCTACATATAATTCTAGTTGGCAGAATGCTGTTCCACGTCGTACATGTGCCTTCATTCTTGCATTTGCATTGTCAGTTACAGGTGGTGTCAATAATTCCAGTGCCTTACAAAGGGTATATATAATTAACAGGGAAAGACATGACTTTAATTTAATTTAATTTAATTTAAATATATATATATATATAAAACAAGTTGAGGACTTGCTCATTGTTCCTAAATAGGATTCACACCCCATCAAAGTTTATGACTCAGCTCCACATCTGAAATTTCTACAGCTTTATGTTATTAGCAAAAATGATTAAGTAGCATTTGTGGTCTTTTGATTCTAACTGGGTGGTTCAGTTCATTCATTCAGTAAATATTTGTGCACAAAATTATACTACTCAAAGGAAAACTGGATTAAAAAAGTATTATGGGCCGGCGCCGCGGCTCAGTAGGCTAATCCTCCACCTAGCGGCACCGGCACCCTGGGTTCTAGTCCCGGTCGGGATGCTGGATTCTGTCCCAGTTGCCCCTCTTCCAGGCCAGCTCTCTGCTGTGGCCAGGGAAGGCAGTGGAGGATGGCCCAAGTGCTTGGGCCCTGCACCCCATGGGAGACCAGGAGAAGCACCTGGCTCCTGCCATCGGATCAGCGCGGTGCGCCAGCTGCAGTGCGCCGGCCGCGGCAGCCATTGGAGGGTGAACCAACGGCAAAGGAAGACCTTTCTGTGTCTCTCTCTCACTGTCCACTCTGCCTGTAAAAAAAAAAAAAAAAAAAAAAAAGTATTATGAAGTCCAATTACGAGGACCTGGTTGTTTCCTCAATATCCTTAATTTCAAGGAGTCATATAAGAGATTTTGTGCGTGATATTCTTATAAAGTAAGTTACAATGAAAGAACAAAAAGGAAAAGCTGCAGAAGTTTAACGCATTCACATGAAGTATTACTAATGGCAAATAAAATATACTAAAAGACCCTGAAAATGGAAAAATGAGTAAGGAGCTATCCTTTACTATGCAAGTGGGTAGAGACAACCACGGAATACCCAGTGTTTTTCCTTCTATCTTGTAGTAAGTCTGCAAAACTTTAATAATAAAAACAGCAAGTCCAGCTGACAACACTTGATGCATTTTCTTGTGAACCTCAACTGCTATGTCAAGACAATATAATAACAGTTGATGGTAGTTTCCTATCTAACTTGAAGTCTCAAAAATACCAGTTCCTTGTCCATTGAAAAAAACTGTAAGAGACAGAATAGGCAACACAAATTTCTTAAAATCTTTGTATCTCAATTATTTAAACAGAATAAAAGATAATCCTCTGAACCAGGAAATAAGAGGATAACAATTTTAAAGCACCCTGTATAAACAGATAGGCATACCTTAGAAGAATCTTCAATCGCCTTGTGTAAATTTTTGAGTTTTAGGTGGCAAGCAGCTCGATTCAAATACAACAGTGGGATCTTATTATTTAGTCGGATGGCTAAGTTGTATGCATTAATAGCTGCCAGATAGTTTTCTGTTGCAAACAATTTGCTAATGAGACAAAAACAGAAAAGGAAAACGATAAACACTGAAGCAGAAGCACAGAAGTCATGCCTAGCCACACTTGGCAGAGGGAGCACCTTTCCTCCTTTCCTCCTCTGGCACTCCCTGTACCACTACCACTGCTGATGGCCCAGTCCCATCTCCGTCACACACACCAGCATCTACATGCACACCAGCAACAGCAAGCAGAAGTCTGAGCAGGCGCACTTCCCCCCTCCTTTCTACAGTGGGCTTGTGGGCTGACCTGGGTCTATCCAGCACAAGGCTTCTAACTTGGGTTTCAAGCTGAGAAAACTTCTCCCCTGGCTGGATATGCATGAAGAAACCATACAGCCCACATTGTAGCTGATCATGCTCAACACCAGGAGAGGAGCTAGGCTACAGATGACATGGGAGTGTGAAAGGAATAAAAGGGCGGAAAGAAACCGAGTCCTTCATGATGCAGTTAAACTGCTGGAATGCAAAATACCTTTGACTTTTGGTTACCTGAGCCCATAAACTCATTTGCATGTAGAGCCAGTATCACGTGCCTTCATGGAGGCACAGCAACAAGTATAATTCAGTATGCAGAACATAAGGAGGAAAAGCACAGCGCATACCAAGTAACATAGCAAGTTCGGCCATAATGGGTATGGAACTTGCCAAAGTTCTCCAGAGAAAAAGAACCAACAAGACGCACACAGTCTTGTGCTGCGCAATGATTTGGTCAACAATTGTATATGCGGTCCTCTAAGATGAGCACAGTGTAGCTCCAGTGCAAGCCCAGAGGCCGAAGAACTAGGAGAGCCAATGGTCTAAGTCCCAAGTCTGAAAGTGTGAGAAGCACAGGAGCCGATTCCAAGGGCAGGAGGCAAATGTCCTCACTAAAAATGAATTTAGGGGGCTGGTGCTGTGGTGCAGTGGGTTAATGCCTGCATCGTTGGCATCCCATATGCATACCAGTTAGAGTCCTGGCTGCTCCACTTCTGATCCAGCTCTCCACTAATGCACCTGGGAAAGCAGCAGAGGATGGTCCAAGTGCTTGGGCCCCTGCACTGACATGGGAGACCTGGAGGAAGCTCCTAGTTTCCTGTCTTCAGTCTGGCCCAGCCCCAGTCATTGTGGCCATTTGAGAAATGAACCAGCAGACGGAAGACTTCTCTCTCTGTCTCTACCTCTCTGTAACTCTGCCTTGCAAATAAATAAAATAAATCTTAAAAAAAAAAAAAAGAGGAGTACCTTCGTTCTTCTTCCACATTTTCATTTTCTATGACCCCAAACAGAGTGGATGATGCTCACTCACCTCTCTCTCACTTAGTCTACTGTATTTGCAGAGGGCAGTTCATAGGACTTAACTTCTGTAATTGTGAGTCAATCTCTCATAATAAACCCTTTCTAGGTATCTACACAGTCGTGCGTGTGTCATTTTTTTTTAAAAAGATTTATTTATTTATTTGAAAAGCAGAGATGCTAATCTCTTCTGGTTACACACAAAAATAATTTTTGAACTGGATCAGAAGCAAAGCAGCCGGGACGTAAACCAGCCCTCTGATATGTGATGCTGGCATTGCAGGCAGCAACTTAGCTCACTGTGCCAAAACGTGGGCCCCAGGCTATCTTTCAAAGACATTTATGTAGCATATGGATTTGGAAGACAGAAATAGTATCTCCTGTGGGGTAAAGGGAAAATCCATTTGCTGTTAACTATAACTAAGATAGTACATCCTTATAGGGCTAAAGTTAGCAGACTTATTTGCATTCTTCTTATAAAAAATTATGTTAACTTTGGGTTTCCTGAGCTACAACAAAAACAATGCACGCACAGCATCCACCTGGGCCTACCTCCGGCTCCGCGGGACCTGTGGGCCAAAGAGAACCATCACCATGCTCAAGCTTCTCACTGTGTCATGAATAATAAAGCCGTGTGTCTCTGACCCATGTTTCTCCTGTCTTCTGGCAGCACCCATGAAACCATGCTAGACTAATCCTTCACAATTCTTGCCAGGGAATGGCTCAAAACCCAAGCACTGGGAAGGAGTTCAATTTGACAAGAAGTGTGTGCTGTACTGCGATAAAATGCTAACAGGTAGTTAACAAGAAGCATCAAAAAGATCAACATGAGGGCCCGGCACTGCGGCTCACTTGGCTAATCCTCTGCCTGCAGCACCGGCACCCGGGTTCTAGTCCCGGTTATTCCTCTTCCAGTCCAGCTCTCTGCTGGGAGGGCAGTGGAAGATGGCCCAAGTGCTTGGGTCCCTGAACCCATATGGGAGACCAGGAGGAAGCACCTGGCTCCTGGTAGCAGCCATTTGGGGGTGAACCAACGGAAGGAAAACCTTTCTCTCTGTCTCTCTCTTTCACTGTCTATAACTCTACCTGTCAAATAAATAAATAAAATATTTAAAAAATTATTTCATTTATTTGAAAGAGTTACAGAGAGAGGTAGAGCCAGAGAGAAGTCTTCCATTCCGCTGGTTCACTCTCCAAATAACTGCAACAGCCAGAGCTGAGTTGATCCAAAGCCAGGAGCCAGGAGCTTCTTCCAGGTCTCCCACGCAGGTACAGGGGCCCAAGGACTTGGGCCATCTTCCACTGCCCTCCCGGGCCATAGCAGAGAGCTGGTTCAGAAGAGGAGCAGCCAGATCTCAACTGGTGCCCATATGGGATGCTGGCACTGCAGGCTGGGGCTTTAACCCACTGAGTCACTGCGCCAGCCCCACTTTTTTGCTTTGTTTTGTTTTGTTTTAAAGATTCATTTATCTACTTACTTATTTGAAAGGCAGAATGATAGGCATGGCTTACCTGGCTCCACTTCAATGCCTACCCCTTCCACCCCTTAATTAAAGTTTTTCTTTCGCTCGCTCGCTCTCCCTCCCTCTTTCTGCACTAAGCATGCTAGCCAAGTTTAATAAAGAAAGTACACCTCACAAACCAGGAGGGTATCTCAGGAAAGAACTGAGAGTCCAGACTCTGCTCACGCTGGGATTTTTATAAATTTGCATGTGGGCCTGCTGTTCCCTCTCCCCTCCCTCATGTCTAGGATATTGCCAGGTGGAAGGCTAATCAAACTTTTTAAAAGAGAGAAAAAAACAAAAACAAAATCAAGACAATTCATTCCCTTGGCCTTGACCCACTTCTCTCCACTCTTTTTGGAGATATTTCTGATTACCTCTTTACTGTCTCCAAATCTATTCAAACTCATTCTATTTTTTTAAAAAAAGATTTATTCATTTACTTGAAAGGCAGAGTTACAGAGAAAGAAGAGAGAGAGGTGGATAGAGATCTTCCATCTGCTGGTTCACTCCCCAGATGCTTGCAACAGTTGGGGCTAGGCCAGGCTGAAGCCAGGAGCCAGGAGCTTCATCCAGGTCTTCCACATGAGTGCAGGGGTCCAAGTACTTGGGCCATCTTCCACTGGTTTCCAGGTGCATTTGCAGGGAGTTGGATCAGAGTGGAGCAACCCAAACTTGAACTGACACCCATATGAGATGCCAATATGGAAAGTGGTGGTTTAACCCATTATACCACACATTGGCTTCTAGAGATCCTTTTTTAAATACTTACTCTTATAAGTTAAACTACTACAAAAAATGCTGATACCCCCCCCCCAATATATCTACAGTGGGGGCCTCTTGTCTGAGTTTCAAACTTGCTGCATTCTATCACCCAGATGGAATTCTTAAAGAGACAGTGAAAACTCAATATATTCCAAACCAAACTTATTTGCATTTCCCTCCTAACTAGCCCCTCTTCAAGTATTCTCTAATTCAGCGGGTGGCCTCACACACCAATCATTAACATAGAAACCTAGAAGTCACCCACAAAAACTCCTCTCACCCCCAACAATCAACCAAGAAATTCTGCTTGTTCTACCTCCGAATTATTTATCAAAACTTCCACTTCTCTATGACAATGTCATTGTTCAAAACCTTTGCCAGGATTTCTGAAACAAATTTCTTTTCCTGCCTTATAGGATAAAATCCAAGAATCTTAACTAAGTACAAGAAGTTCCTGCCTATTTTCCTAGGATCAAAGTTTATGTTTTAACACAGAATAATTAATCTATAGTTCCTGGCCTACGCCATGTTACAAACTGTTTCTGGGCTTTTGCTCTCTTACCTCTGCCTGAAAGGCATACCTTTCTTTCTACTCCTCCTGACACCATTCCTTATCATTAAAGGGAGTTCAAGTGCTACTCTTTCTTGTGTGTGTGTGTGTGTGTGTGTGTGTGTACAATCCTTCCGGTTCTCTGTCTCTCTCTAATTTTATTTAAGATATAAAAATTTCATGTGTCACTGTTACTTTCTTTAGAAAGCGTTTCCTGAGCCACCTTTCCCCTGCTTAGGGTTAGGGAATCCCTGTTCTGTACTCTCCTGCTGCCTTGTTCTTATCTAAGTTCCTGCATTTTCCATACAGTGTCATAAGCACTTGTGTATGTCTCCCTCCTGATTTCTGTAGTTCAGTGACCATCTGATAGTATGGCAAATGTCTAGCAATCATTAGATGTCTACTTAATGGCTGAATAAATGCAGAGGAAGGACGGAGAGAAACAGGAAGAAAGATCATACCTGCTTCTATTTTTGGGAGCAAGAAGATGCAATCTGTCAGCCCCAGGGTTCCGCCCTTTAGCAGAGCGGCCAGTTCCACACACCGATTCCTGGAGGTGTAACAGACAGTAGAAAAGACCAAGAAAGAACAGAGGGGCCAGCACTGTGGCGCACTGGGCAAAGCCGTCGCTTGCAGTGCTGGCATCCCATTCGGGTGCAGGTTCAAGTCCCGGCTGCTCCATTTCTGCTCCAGCTCTCTGCTATGGCCTGGGAAAGCAGTGGAAGATGGCCCAAGTCCTTGGGCCTCTGCACCCACGTAGGAATACCAGGAAGAAGCTCCTGGCTCCTGGCTTCAAATTAGCCTAGCTCTGGCCATTGCAGCCATTTGGGGAGAGTGAACCAGCAGATGGAAGACCTCTGTCTCTCTGTCTCTCTCTCTGTCTCTCTGTAACTTTGCTTTTCAAATAAATAAATCTTACAAGAAGTTTGTTCAATAAATAATACCCACAGGTGTCTCAAAATATTAACTCAAATCTTCACTCAGAAGGTACCATAAAATCACATACAAGGTCTTATATAAATAATAGAATGACTGCTTGGATATAAAATGATCATTTATAGATAATACAATACTTTTTAAAAAATGGATATGAATAACCAAAAAAGTTGGTCCTTTTTTTTTTTTAAGAAAAATCCTATTTTTAAATGGAGATATAAGGAAGGGCATATATTAAATATAAAAGTCACTTTAATCAGCATCCCAAACGATATATTTTTACTTTATGATATTTAAAGAGAAAAGCACATAAAAACAGTAACTGGCCTTGTTATATTATCTGAAATTTTTACTATGAAGGCCCTGCCAACCTAATTTGCTTTGTATTCTCTCACTCTAACAACAATGCACACATCTGTCAAAGTATCCAGAGAGTGTGGTAAGTACTGATGTGTATACACATGACAAATTTCATGACCAGAATTCCAACAACTCACTTTCCTTTATCCTTCAACCACTCTGGATTCTTTTCCTCTTCTTTCAAATCAGAAAACTCAGGAATATCCGCATTCATTGCTCTTCGTGCCTCGGCCTGCTTGTGCAGCCACTGAAAGAAGAGTGGACAGCTTCAGTCCACCTTGTGTCACTATAACAAAATATCTGAGGCAGGCACTTCACAGGGAAGGAGGTTTTCAGCCTACAGTCCCAAGACTGGGAGGGCACTCTGGCTACCTCGTAACACAGCAGGGGCATCACATGGTGTAAGTGTCCCTCCCGTCCCACCTGAGACAGAGAGAGATCACGAGGCAAGACAAGCAGCCAGGGAGGAGAGGAGCCAGGCTCACCCCTTTATCACAATCCGCTCTACTCAGACCGCTCCCGACCTTTTTTTTTTTTTTTTTTTTTTTTATGGGAAGCTTTTATTTAGTAAATACAAATTTCATAAGTACAACTTCTGGATTATAGTGGTTCTTCCCCTCAATACCCGCCCTTCCACCCCCAAACCATCCCCTCTCCCATCCCATTCTTCATTAAGATTCACTTTTAATTATCTTTATATACAGAAGATCAACTCTATACTGAGTAAAAATTTCAACAGTTTGCACCCACACAGACACAAAAAGTATAAATTACTGTTTGAAGACTAGTTTTACCGTTAATTCCCATAGTACAAGACATCAAGGACAGAGGTCCTACAAGGGGAGCAAGTGCACAGTGATTCAAGTTGTTGATTTAACAACTGACACTCTTATTTATGACGTCAGTGATCACCTGAGGGTCTTTTCATGAGCTGCCAAGGCTATGGAAGCCTTTTGTGACCACAGATTCCATCAGTATTTGGACACAGCCATAAACAAAGTGGAAGTTCTCTCCATTCAGAGAAAAGTACGTCCTTCTTTGATGGCCCCTTCTTTCTTCTGGGGTCTCACAGAGATCCTCCGTGTAGGATACTTTTTGCTACCAAGTCTTGGCTTTCCATGTCTGAAATGCTCTCACAGGCCTTTCAGCCAGACCAGGAAGCCTTAAGGGTTGATTCTGAGGTCAGAATGTTTATTATAGTGTTATTTACAGTGACTGTCAATCTAGGAGTCTGCTGTTTGGACTAATTCCCATATTGGACATTCCCTCCTGTTTAATTGTCTATTATTATTACTAGGCACTTTGATGTTATTTATATGATCTCTTTTACACTTAATCTTATCTATATGTTGACTTTAATATGATCACTTTAACAATTAAGATGGCATTTTTACCACCAATTTGAACGGGATTAGAGTCCCATGACAAGTTTTTAAGCTGCACCCTTAAAAGTAAGTCCGTAGGACTGTATGCAGAACTATACAGATTTACAGTTATAGACTACCCCCCCCTTATTTCCCCTCTTATTTTTTACTTGAATCTATTTTCAATTGACTTTAAATGCATATGATTAACTCTATGTTATGTTAAGAGTTCAACATATAGTATGAAGAAAAGGAAAGAAAGCAAAAAAAAAAAAAAAAAGGAGGGCCGGCGCCACAGCTCACTAGGCTAATCCTCCGCCTTGCAGCGCCGGCACACCGGGTTCTAGTCCTGGTCAGGGCGCCGGATTCTGTCCCGGTTGCCCCTCTTCCAGGCCAGCTCTCTGCTGTGGCCAGGGAGTGCAGTGGAGGATGGCCCAGGTGCTTGGGCCCTGCACCCTATGGGAGACCAGGAAAAGCACCTGGCTCCTGGCTCCTGCCATCGGATCAGCGCGGTGCGCCGGCCGCGGCGGCCATTGGAGGGTGAACCAACGTCAAAGGAAGACCTTTCTCTCTGTCTCTCTCTCTCACTGTCCACTCTGCCTGTCAAAAAAAAAAAAAAAAAAAGGAAATAAAAAAATAAAAAATCTGTCCCTGGGCAGTCAGGATGAGGGCTATTCAAATCATTGTTTCTAAAAGTGTCAATTTTACTTTTATAGCTTTCGTTTTAGGAGCACTATTAATTCTCAGAGATCAGGGAGAGCATATGGTATTTGTCCCTTTGGGACTGGCTTATTTCACTCAGTATGAAGTTTTCCAGATTCCTCCATTTTGTTGCAAATGACCGGATTTCATTTTTTTCTACTATTGTGTAGTATTCCATAGTGTACATATCCCATAATTTCTTTATCCAGTCTTCAGTTGATGGACATTTAGGTTGATTCCATGTCTTAGCTTTTGTGAAGTGAGCTGCAATAAACATGGAGACACAGATACCTCTTCTGTTTTTTTTTTTTTTTTTTTTTTCTGACAGGCAGAGTGGACAGTGAGAGAGACAGAGAGAAAGGTCTTCCTTTTTGCCGTTGGTTCACCCTCCAATGGCCGCCGCAGCCGGCGCGCTGCGCTGATCCAATGGCAGGAGCCAGGTACTTCTCCTGGTCTCCCATGGGGTGCAGAGCCATCCTCCACTGCACTCCCTGGCCACAGCAGAGAGCTGGCCTGGAAGAGGGGCAACCGGGACAGAATCCAGTGCCCCGACCGGGACTAGAACCCGGTGTGCCGGCACTGCAAGGCGGAGGATTAGCCTAGTAAGCTGCAGCTCCGGCCCAGACAGCTCTTTTGTTTACTGAGTTCATTGCCCTTGGGTAAATTCCCAGGAGTAGAATGGCCCGGTCATATGGTAGGTCTCTATTCAGATTTTTGAGGTATCTCCATACTATCTTCCATAGTGGTTTTACCAGTTTACATTCCCACCAACAGTGGGTTAGTGTCCCTTTTTCCCCACATCCTCGCCAGCATCTGTTGTTAGCTGATTTCTGTATGTGAGCCATTCTAACTCCGGTGAGGTGAAATCTCATTGTGGTTTTGATTTGCATTTCCCTGACTGCTAGTGATCCTGAACATTTTTTCATGTGTCTGTTGGCCATTTGGATTTCCTCTTTTGAAAAATGTCTGTTGAAGTCCTTGGCTCAACTCTTAACTGGGTTGTTTGTTTTGTTATTGAAGACATATTTATAAATGAACAAAAGATGTTTGGGGCCGGCATTGTGGCGTAGCAGGTAAAGCTGTCATCTGCAACTCCTGCATCCATTACGGGTGCTGGTTTGAGTCCCAGCTGCTCCACTTCTGACCCAGCTCCCTGCTGATGTGCCTGGTAAAGCAGAGAAAGATGGCCCAAGTATGTGGGACCCTGAACCATGGGGGAGACTGGGAAGAAGCTCCTGGCTCCTGGCTTCCGCCTAGCCCAGCCTGGGTGGTAGCAGCCATTTCGGGAGTGAACCAGTGGATGGAAGATCTCTTTCTGACTGTCTCTTCTCTCTCTGTGTGTAACTCTGCCTTTCAAATAAATTAAAAAAAAAACTTTAAAAAATTTTAATTTCAAAATATCACATTAGAAATAGCTGTTACTGTTAATAATAATGTTAACAGCAATTTCTAAATCTCTCTTCTTTCCAAAATATGTACTACTTCAAAACCTCTAATTTTACTATTAAAAATAATGTATTTTATCAAATTAGTAACGAATATAATAATTTACCCCTTGGAATAAGCAACAGTGCTATATATATATATTTAAGATGTATCTATTTATTTGAAAGGCAGAGTTGGGGAGAGACACAGAGAGAGATCTTCCACCTGCTGGATCACTCCCCAAATGGCCACAACAACCAGGTTGGGCCAAAGTCAGAAGCCAGGAGCCGGGAGCTTCATCTGGGTCTCCCACATGGGTGCAGGGGCCCAAGCACTTGAGACATCCTCCACTGCTTTTCCAGGTGCATTTTCAAGGAGTAGATCAGAAGCAGAGCAGCCAGGACTCAAATCAGTGCCCATATGGGATGCTGCCAGTGCAGCTTGTGGCTATAACCTGCTGTGCCAGAGCAGCGGCCTCAGCAATACTGTTTATTAAATCAATATGCTCTCATCAGTATTACAGAGTAAAAAAAAATCTGCGAAATATATTTTCTTTTTAGGAAATACTAAAATACATTCATGACGTTATCTTTAAAGTAACAAATACTTAAGAAATTCAGAACCAGCGCTAGATTCAACAGATAAAATACAAATAAAGTAATTTTCATTTGTTGCTATTTTAACCAAAGCAAGTATATCTACCTCCTCCTCTTCTGCTACTTGTGATTCACGGAGAGCAGTTGGGAATACTCGAGGGGTAAAGTTGATTTTGATATTGCCAGCAGAGCGAGGAGCAGGAATGCTATCTTCCTTTAACTTCTCAACAAACATATTTCCTGAATTTCTCCCTTTAAAAACAATGGTAAGCAAATAAGTCATTTATTTTACATCTTCTAGTTAACCAAACTGACTTTGGAGCTAATTCCAAAATCTTCAACAAATAAGCCAAAAGTGTTTTCTGCAAGAAGTAATATATATCCATCACTGATGATATGCCAGCTGGTCATCTATTCCACAATGACTCCAGCTACTTTTCTGGGGCTCTTTGTTACACCACAGCTCTAGTCCACACCAAATACAGGAGAGGCACTCTGAGCAACTCTACGTCAACTCAAGGTAAGTACCTAGGCAAAGCCATCTCAGCCAATTCCTCCTCTATTTCCTCGAGCCTCTGCAGCAATATCTCCTATACACTTCTTGTGATAGTGCAGAGGTCTTTCAGCTACTGGAGAGAACTAATGAGAATAGGCAAAGGATGCAAATGAAAAGCTGCATGTTATTATAAAGGTGGATAGATGCAACGGTTGTGGAATCAACCCAAGAGGGGGCTGCAGTGTGGCACAGCAGGTTAAGTGGCTGTCTGGGACATCTGTGATGTCAGTATCCCATGTGAGCGCTGCTCTGAGTCCCAGCTGTTCCACTTCCAATCTAGCTCCCTGCTAATTTGCCTAGGCACAGGTGCCTGGGCCCGGGTCACCCATGTGGGAGACCCAGATGGAGTTCCAGGATCCTGGTTTCAGCCTGGCCCAGACCTGGCCGTTATGGTCATTTGGGGGAGTGAACAAGCAGATGGAAAAACTCTTTGTCTATCTCTCCATCTCTCTCTCTGTAACTCTGCCTCTCAAAAAAAAAAAAAATCTTAAAAGAAGCCAACATAAGAGGAGAAATTAATCTATACACTGGAATATAGTCTAAATTAATAAAAGGAAGGAAAAGTAGCTTAAAATAACCCATAAAAGTACCAAAATATGAAAGAGGTATAAAGGCAAATATCAAAACTGGTGAAAAAGATTTGAAACAAAGGGGCAGATAGCAATACTATTGATAGGAAATGAACAAATAAGACAAAAACAATTTCCAATTTAAAAACTGTAAAAGTGCCCGATTAGACATTTCAAAGGAGAAGAGCATGGAAGTAAAAAAGTGTCCTGGACCCAGAGGTAGTAGCCAAATCATGTGACAACTGAGGAAAACTGCACCAGCCTGGACGTCTGTGGAACTAAATTATCCATGAGGCCTGGATAATCCACTGATCACTGCTGTAGAACAAACTGCCCTACTACAGAAAGCTAAATTGCTATCTTGTTTGATCTGTAATTTTAGATCTGTTCATTACAATGGTTAGCTTGAACTACCTAAATACAATGTCCCAAGGATTTTATGCCCTAGTAAATTATTGCTTACTTACGAAGGCAAGGACATTCCTAGAGGTATGCAGTGATTCAGCCCTTATCACTTAACCAGCTTTTCTACACAAACTACACAAAGAAACATACCAGAATATGAAAAGTAAAATTAAGGACCTGTGATTGGGGAATCTGAGGGCAAAATGAAAAACTGCTGAGTTTTCTAAAACGGTGGAGAATACACCAAAAATATGAATGCTATTTTTAAAAAGATTTATGTATTTTATTTGAAAGTCAGATTTACAGAGAGAGAAGGAGAGGCAGAGAGAGAAAGAGAGGTCTTCCATCTGCTGGTTCACTCCCCAGTTGGCTGCAATGGCTGGAGCTGCACCGATCCGAAGCCAGGAACCAGGAGCTTCTTCCAGGTCTCCCACACAGGTGCAGGGGCCCAAGCACTTGGGCCATCTTCTACTGCTTTCCCAGGCCACAGCAGAGAGCTGGATCGGAAGTGGAGCAGCTGGGACTAGAATCGGTGACCATATGGGATGCCAGCACTTCAGGTGGCAGCTTTACCTGCTACGCCCCAGCGCTGGCCCCAAATGTTATTTTAATAAAGTTTATTTATTTATTTGAAAGGAAGAGGGAAAGAGATGGGGGGAAGGGAGCAAAGAGCAAGCGAGTGAGAGAGATGTCTACCATTCACTGGCTCATTCCCTAAATAGCCTGAAAGGCCAGAGGCAGAAGCTGGGAGCTGGGCCATCTGTCTAGGTCTCCCATGTGAATGGCAGCCAATTCCTTGAGCCATCTCCGCTGCCTCCTAGGGCATGCATTAAAAGCAGGACACTGGAGTCAGGAGTCAGAGTCAGGTATGCAACACAGGTGCTCCAATACGATACACAGGCATCTTAACTGTGAGGCCGAATGCCTGCCCCTTCTAGTGCTTTCTCTGTCGTATTTTAAATCTCTTTGTTCTACTTTCTGAAATGTTTTCTTGACCATATTCCAACCCTCTGATAAATTTTTTATTTTAATCACATCTTTAATTTCTAAACATTTTTATTCCCTCAAGATTCTTTGTTATAGTCCTATGTTCTGGTTTAATGATTAAAATATGTTCTCATCTTTCTGCGGTCATGAATTAGTTCCTTTGGTTTTCTTCTGTTCCCTACATTATTGGGTTGTTCCAAGTTGCATTTTTCTGTTTCTTAGCTACCTTCTCAGATTAAAGGTTCTGACTGGAAGTTCTGTGTGCAAGAATGAAGCCTGTTGACCAGTGAGCTTCGGCAGGGTGAGTCAGCTGGGCCATTACAGATGTGAGTACTTTTTGCATCTTACTCTGGTCAGCTTCCCTGTAGGGGGAATGCCAGTGAATTGTTCCTGTACTCATATGTGCATGAGCAAAATGGACAGGATAGGAGTAGAGAGGATCTCTTGAATCAGTATTTAGATTTTCACAATGAACACTTGCATTAGTTGCACTTAATCTCCTCAGTTTTCAGAGGATAAGCCTACCTCGTCTTCAATGGCACAAAAAATAAACCTCTAAACTCCTGCCACATGGGAGGAGGAGATCTGGTAGTCAAACTCTGCTTAGGTACTTTCAACCAACCTTCCTATTTCCTTCAGTCATCCATTTAGCCCACACTTTTAGCAGTATTTAGTTCTTCCAACTTGAAAACAAAGGCTCCCCTCTCGCCTCATTAAGCTTTTAGTAGTGTATAAGTAGACAACTAAGTAACTAGTTCTACAGGGCCTGGCGTTGTGGTGCAGGTTAAACTGCTGCTGTCAGAGTGCTACTGTGAGGTCCTGGCTGCTCTGCTTCTGATCCAGTTTCCTACTGACTCCTGTGGCCATTTGAGGAGTCAATCATGAGTGGAAGATCTGTCTCCTCTCCTTCCTGTCTCTGTCACTCTTTTTGAATATACAAATAAACTATTAAAAAAAAAAAAAACTTGCTCAACACAAGAACAGGCTGACACCAACAGCTAAGCTCCAGAGGTTTCTTTTTAAGAGTTATTTTAAGAGTTATTTATTTATTTGACAGGAAGAGTTACAGATAGAGGGAGGGAGAGGGAGAGAGAGAGGTCTTTCATTTGCTGGTTCACTCTGCCGCGATGGCTGGGGTTGGGCCTATCCAGAGCCAGGAGCCAGGAGCTTCTTCAGGGTCTCCCACATGGGTACAAGGGCCCAAACACTTCCACTGCTTTCCCAGGTTATTAGCAGGGAGCTAGATTCAAAGAGGATCATCCAGGACAGCAACTGGCACTTCTATGGGATGCTGGTGCCGAAGGGGGAGGCTTAACTTACCAGCCACAGTGCCGGACTCAAGAGGCTTCCTTTTTATTTGCTAAGATTTATTTGTTTATTCGAAAGGAAGAGTTACAGAGAGAGAGGGAGAGAGTTCTTCCACCTGCTGGTTCCCTCCCCAGATGGCCACAATGGCCAGATATGAGCCAGGCTGAAGCCAGGAGCCAGGAATTTCCTCTAGGTCTCTCACGTGGGTGGCAGGGGGCCCAAGCACTTGAGCCATCCTCCACTGCTTTTCCAAGGCCATTAGCAGGGAGCTGGATCAGATGTGGAGCAGCCTGCTATGCCACAACACCCACCCCGAGGCTTCCTTTTTCAAACAAAACTCTTTCTAAGGCGACAGAGCAGCCCCTGCAGTTGGATGGTCACTTCAGTGTTCGTTAACTCCCTCTTCCTGGCCTCTGAGCAACAGCACAAGGACAGAGAATGTCAAATGTAGCCCTGTTGTGGGACGGCTGCGGTAGTCCAGCTATAGTAAGCATAGCTCGGGGAATAATGAGAACCTCAGGGAATCACGTACACTTTGCTGCTTCTCTGCTAAAGCTATTATCAATAAACCGTATTGCTAATTAACTCTGCGAAATAATTAATTCATTTGAGCTCTGAAAACACATGCATGAAACAATAATCACAATCAAGACAAACAACTTCATCACCTCCAAGAACTCCCGACTGTCCCTGGAAACCCACCTTTCCATTCACCTCTGGCTGAAGACAACCACAGATCGGATTCTAGTCACCATAAATCAGTACTTTTAAAATGTCATACAGTATTGACTATTTCATGCTGGAGCCTTTGTTCAGCATAATTCTGTAATTCATTCATGTGTGCATCAGCAGCCTTTTTATTGTACAATAACAGTCTATTTTATTAATACATAAGGGTTTGTTCATTCATTCACCTATTGATGGGCATTTGGGTTGTTCCAGTTACGTACTATTATGAACAAAGGGCTATAAACACCTGAATGTCTTTAGGTGGACACATTTCACTTCTGTACATATCTAAGACTGGATGGCTCAGTTATACAACTTTTAAAGAAACTGTCCCAAACACTCATCAAAAGTGGTTCTAGCATCTTATATTCCTACCAGCAGTGAATAAGAATTCCAGTGCAGCACATCAACAACACTGATGAACTCTTTCATTTTAGCCACTTTAATGGGTATACACTGTGTCTCACTGTGGTTTTAATTTGCATTTCCCTGATGACTAATGATACTGAACATCTTTCCATGTGGTTTAATTGCCATTCGCATATCTTCTATTGTGAAATGTTCATTCAAATTTTTGTCCAATTTTTTTTTTTTTTGACAGGTAGAGTTAGACAGTGAGAGAGAGAGAGAGAGAGAGAGAGAGAGAGAGAGAGAGAGAAAGGTCTTCCTTCTGTTGGTTCACCCCCCAAATGGCCACTACAGCCAGCATGCTGTGCTGATCTGAAGCCAGGAGCCAGGTGCTTCCTACTGGTCTCCCACGCAGGTGCAGGGCCCAAGCACTTGGGCCATCCTCCACTGCCTTCCTGGGCCACTGCAGAGAGCTGGACTGGAAGAGGAACAACCGGGACTAGGAGAACCGGTGCCCCAACCGGGACTAGAACCTGGGGTGCCGGCACCGCAGGCAGAGGATTAGCCTAGTGAGCTTCAGCGCTAGCCTCCAATTGTTTCTAACTGGGTTGTCTTTTGCATACATAACATGCATATAGTGAGGCAAGCATCATTCATTTATTTCCATAAAGACCAGCATGTACAGGGCCAGCATCATGGTGCAGCGGGTTAAACCGCATCGTGTAAAGCCAGTATCCCAGATGGGCGCAGGTTTGAGTACCAGTTGCTTTACTTCCAATCCAGCTGACTTCTAATGTGCCTGGGAAAGCAGGGGAGCATGGCCCAAAAACTTGCATCACTGCACCCATGTGGGAGATCCAGAAAAACCTCCTGGCTCTGGCCTAGCCCAGACCTGGTGATTGTGGCCAGTGGGGGAGTGAACCAGAGGACAGATGTTTCTCTGTCTCTCCCTCTCTCTCTGTTATTCTGCCTTTATTTATTTCCTTCTTTCTTTTTTAAAAGAGTTTATTTATTTCAAAGGCAGACTTACAGAGAGCCAAGGAAAGAGAGAAACAGATCTTCTATCTGCTGGTTCACTCCCCAAATGGCTACAATAGCTGGAGCTGGGCCAGGCCAAAGCCTGTGTCTGCCACATGGGTGCAGGGACCCAAACACTTAGGCCATCTTTCACAGCCTCTCCCAGGTCATCAGCAGGGAGCTGCATCAAAAATGAAGCAGCAGGGACTGGAACCAATACCCATATGGATGCTGGCACTACAGGAAGTGGCTTAACCCGCTGTGCAATAGTGCTGGCTCTGTCATTCTGCATTTTAACTAAATCTTAAATCAAAAAAAGAACATCTTGTTTAAGATTCTCTATCCCCATTGAGTCACCTTGTTACCATGATTCAAACTGCTAGATCACATATGTGGATCGTTTTATGATCTCTGACTGCTCTTTAAAAAAAGAATTATTTAGTTGAAAAGCAGAGTGACAGAGAAAGAAGGCGTTAGAGAGAGAGAGAGAGAGAGAGAGAGAGAGAGCTATTTTCCATTAGCTGCTTCATTCATCAAATGTCTGCAACAGACAGGGAAAGGCCAGGCTGAAGCCAGGAACCAGGAACTCCATCCAGGTCTCCCAAAGTGGGTGGCAGGAACCCAAGTACTTGTGCCATCACCTGCTGCCTCCCAGGTGCATTAGCAGGAAGCTGGATAAGATGCAAGAGTAGCTTGGACTCTAATCAGGTTCTCTGATAATGTGGTGCAAGCATCCCAAGCAACAGCTTAACCCTCTGCACCATAATGCCTACCCCACATACCCTGTTTTTGGTTTTGTTTTAAGATTTACTGCTGGTGCCACGGCTCAATAGGCTAATCCTCAACCTGCGGTGCCGGCACACCGGGTTCTAGTCCCGGTTGGGGCGCCAGATTCTGTCCCAGTTGCCCCTCTTCCAGGCCAGCTCTCTGCTGTGGCCCGGGAGTGCAGTGGAGGATGGCCCAAGTGCTTGGGCCTTGCACCCCATGGGAGACCAGGAGAAGCACCTGGCTCCTGGCTTTGGATCAGCGTGGTGCGCAGGCCGCAGCGTGCCAGCCGCGGCGGCCATTGGAGGGTGAACCAACGGCTAAGGAAGACCTTTCTGTCTCTCTCTCTCACTGTCCACTCTGCCTGTCAAAAAAAAAAAAAAAAAAAAGATTTACTTATTTGTTTGAAAGGCAGAGTTACAGAGAGAGGAGGAGAGAGGCAGAGACAGAGAGAGATCTTCCATCTGCTGGTTCACTCCCCAAATGGCTGCAACGACTGGAGTTGGACCAGGCTGAAGCCAGGAGTCAGGAGCCTCTTCTGGGTTTTCCACATGGATGTAGGGCCCAAGCACTTGGGTCATCGTCTTTTGCTTTCCCAGGAGCATTAGCAGGGAGCTAGATCAGAAGTGGATCAGTCAGGACAGGAACTGGCACCCATATGGGATGTTTGTGCCCCAGGGAGTGGCTTTACTCAGTAAACCACGGCGTCAGCCCCTCTTTTCTAATATATATATATATACATATAATATATATGTAATATATATATAGTATATATATAATACATCCACATTCATGGGTACCAGAAGTTAGGACTTGAACATATGTTTTTGAGACCACCATTCAACCCTCTTCAATCATATAATAATCAATGAAAAAATCACTTCTTTGCAGCCTTAAGAATTTCTTAAGCATTTATTGTAAACAAACTGGCTGGCAAGAAATGCCTTTTTTTTTTTTCACAGGCAGAGTTAGACAGTGAGAGAGAGAGAGGCAGACACAGAGAAAGGTCTTCCTTTTCCGTTGGGTCACCCCTCAAATGGCTGCTACGGCCTGCCAATCTAGGAGCCAGGTGCTTCCTCCTGGTCTCCCATGGGGTGCAGGGCCCAAGGACTTGGGCCATCCTCCACTGCACTCCCGGGCCATGGCAGAGAGCTGGTCTGGAAGAGGAGCAACCAGGACAGAACCGGCGCCCCGACTGGGACTAGAACCTGGGGTGCCGATGCCGCAGGCGGAGGATTAGCCTAGTGAGCCGCAGTGTCAGCCAAGAAATGCTCTTTATTATCCTTTATCATAAAATATTTTTCTTTGCAGTTATTTTAATATGATTGAAGAGGGTTGAATGGTGGTCTCAAAAACATAATTTCAAGTCCTAATTCCTGGTACCCGTGAATGTGGATGTATTAATCCGGTTCTCCCAAGAGACAATTAACAGGAGAGACAGTCACAGACAGACAGAGCTAGAGAAATAAAGAGATTTACTCATATGCAGTTTGAGTCTGAAGGAAGGACCAACATCCCAGCTCAAAAATAATCAGACGCACAGAGAAAGAATTCTCTCTTACTCAGCCTTTTACTCTTTTCTGGGTTTCAAGAGACTGGGGAAGGCAATCTGTTTAATTCAGTCTGTTGATTAAAATGCTAATCTTGGGGGTTGACACTGTGGCACAGCCAGTTAAACTTCTGCCTGCAGCAGTGGCATCCCATATGGGAGCAATTCAAGTCCCAGTTGCTCCACTTCCCAATCCAGCTCCCTGCTAAGGAGCCTGGGAAAGTGCTCGCTCTCTCATGCTTGCTCTCGCTCTCTCTCTCTCTTTGTGTGTGTGTGTAACTGACTTTCAAATAAAATGAATAATGTGACTATGTTGAGGATGTTAAGATGAGATCATTCTGGATTTAGGGTAGTCCAAAATCCAATGACCAATATGCTAACAAGAGACAGAAAAAGAGACTACACAGATCCAAACAGGAAGGCATGTGAACAGTAAAGACAGAAGCAGAGATTAAGGTAATGCAGCTACAAGCCAAGAAATGCAAAGGATTAAAGATACTCATGAGACGTTAGGACACAGGCATGGCAAAGATTCTCCCTCAGAGCCTGCAGAAGGAAATAACCCTCCCAGCACCTCCCAATTTCTGTTGTTTTAAGCAACAAAGTGTGTGGCAATTTGTTGCAGAACCCCTAGAAAATGAATACATAAATATTTTTTACTTGATACAGAATTCTGCTTTGTTAGGGTTAGTTGTTTGTTTTAGCAGCTTAAAGATGTTAGAGGGGCTGGAGTTGTGGTACAGGAGATTAAGCCACCACTTATTTTTTATTTTTTTATTTTTTTATTTTTTGACAGGCAGAGTGGACAGTGAGAGAGAGAGACAGAGACGTTGGTTCACCCTCCAATGGCCGCCGCGGCCGGCGCACCACGCTGATCCAAAGCCAGGAGCCAGGAGCCAGGTGCTTTTCCTGGTCTCCCATGGGGTGCAGGGCCCAAGCACTTGGGCCATCCTCCACTGCACTCCCTGGCCACAGCAGAGAGCTGGCCTGGAAGAGGGGCAACCGGGACAGAATCCAGTGCCCCGACCGGGACTAGAACCCGGTGTGCCGGCGCCGCAAGGCGGAGGATTAGCCTAGTGAGCCGCGGTGCTGGCCAAGCCACCACTTATGACATTAGCATCTCGTATCTGAGTGCTGGTTCAAGTCCTGGCTGCTCTGCCTACAATCCAGCTCCCTGCTAAGACACCTGGGAAACCAGTGGAAGACAGTACAAGTACTTGGGACCCCACTACCCAGATGGAGTTCCTGGCTCCACGATCAGCCTGGTCTAGCCCTAGCTTTGGCAGCCATTTTGGAAAAAGTGAATCAGCAAACGAAGACCTCTTTCTCTCCCTCTCTGTAACTGCATTTCAGATAAATAAATACATCTTTAAATACAAACAAAACAGTGTCATGTAAGCATGTACTTCACCAACAGGACTCACTCTTCCAGAAAATTAATTAAATTTTTTACAGTACCTTTTGGGGCAAGATTTCTGGATGCCACATTCCTAGTAAGACTTTTATGTTTTAATTTTTTCCTTTCTTCTTCAGTTTGCTTCTCTTGACATAATTTGTCAGATATCTGAATTAGTTTTTTTTCTTCAGCTTTTCTTTGGCGTTCTTTCCAGGCTTCCAATTCTTCAGTTGCTTTTTTCCGTTCATTTTCTTTAATACTTTCTATTTTTTTTCTCTCTTCTTCTTCAATCTGTAAAAGTTGCAATTACCAAATAATTTAAAGCATATAAAAAGCAGCATTCTTATCTTAAATAAGAAATTCATCATAATTATTCTTACCTCTAATCTCTTATAACTGCATTTTAACAACAGCTAGTAAATAAATAATTAAAATGGGGAAATTAAATGATTTAGTCAAATGACTACTGATTTGGGGCCATGGAACACGGGTGTTAGTCCCAGATCTACCAAAGACTATTGAATATGATCTTGGGCAATCATTTTCTCTAGCCTCAGCTTACTTAAATGTAAAATTTGCAGGGGGAATGGAACATTCGCTTAGACGATATTATCTAAGGGTCTGATGAAACAAGAACATTATCAAGACCCTGGCACCCTACTTTGGAATGCCAGTTCCAGTCCTAGCTCCTCTGCTTCTGATACAGCTCCCTGTAAACGCTCTCGGGAAGGCAGCAAATGATGGCCCAAGTGCCACTCCTGTGGTGTCCCCGATGAGTTCCTGGCTCCTCCTGGCTGTGGCCTGACACAGCTCCAGCTGTTGCAGCCATTTGAGTAGTGAATCAGCAGATGATCTGTCTCTCCCTCTCTCTCTTGCCACTCTGCTTTCCAAGTAAATAAATACATCCTAAAAAGAATTTATCACTCTAAAAAGTAGGCCAGTTCTCTAAAACCACACACATACACAAGCATACATGTGCTTGCCTTTTCTCAGGACTAAAGCTGTGCCAACTCTCACCTGAGAAGAGAGGGAACAGTAGGCAGGGAAACAGGAAAGATGGTAGAGAAACTGCCTGATAGGTGCAAACACTTGATCTCTTAACCCTGCTGCTATGCTTGCATTAGTAGTGCTTTAACATTTTCACATGCCAGATTAATCTGAAAGTAAGTTTTTTGTTTGTTTGTTTGTTTTTGACAGGCAGAGTAGACAGTGAGAGAGAGAGACAGAAAGGTCTTCCTTTTGCCATTGGTTCACCCTCCAATGGCCACCGTGGCTGGCACGCTGCGGCCAGTGCACCGCGCTGATCCGATGGCAGGAGCCAGGTACTTATCCTGGTATCCCATGCGGGTGCAGGGTCCAAGGACCTGGGCCATCCTCCACTGCACTCCCTGGCCACAGCACAGAGCTGGCCTGGAAGAGGGGCAACCAGGACAGAATCCAGCGCCCCGACCGGGACTAGAACCTGGTGTGCCGGCACTGCGGGCCGAGCATTAGCCTATTGAGCCGCAGCGCCGGCCTGAAAGTATTATCTTGTGCAGAAAAACGGCAGCTTTTCTCCCTTTTGCAAACCTCCTCACATGGACAAGAAATAAAAACAGTGAAATTCAATAATTAGTTGGTTTATTATGATTGAATCTATGTATGTGACTTCCCTATGGAACGAAAAATGTCACATCTCCTATAGAAAGGGAAAATGATGTGCTATTCAGTAAAGTCACTAGTCATGTGTGGGTAATTAAGAACTTCAAATGTGGCTGCTGTGACTGAGGAAATGAATTTTTTGTGACTGTTATAAATTTTCTTGAAAGGCAAAGAGAGATCGATCATCCACTGGTTCACTCCCCAAAAAGACAATAATAGTCAGGGCTGACGCCAGGAGCCCAAGTCCTTAGGTCATCTTCAGCTGCCTCCCAGGATGCCATTCGTAGGACACTGGACTGGAAGATGGAATGTGGGCCTTTCAAGCTACAGCCTAACTTGCTGAGCCATAATGCCCAACCTTTAATTTACACTGAAATAGTAAACTTGGGCTTTATTTACTTACTTATTTACTTACTTACTTATTTTGCCAATACATGGGAGGCCTGGATTCCTCTCCCAGTACCGAGTTTTGGCCTTGGCCCATGCCTGGCCATTGCAGGATATGAGAGTGAATCAGCACATGGGTGCTCAATTTCATTTTTTTTTTTTCAAAATATTTTAAAAATTTGAAAAGCAAAGTCACAGAGAGAGTGAGAGAGAGAGATCTTCCATCTATTGGTTCACTCCCCAAATGGCTGCAACAGCCAGGGCTGGGCCAGGCCAAAGCCAGGAGACAGGAACTTCTTCCCATCTCCCATGCAGGTGCAGGGTCCAAAGCTCTTGGGCCATCCTCCACTGCTTTCCCAGTCACACTAATTAGCAAGGAGCTGGATGGGAAGAGGAGCAGCCGGGACTCAAATTGGTGCCCATATGGGATGCCAGCATTGCAGGCGGCAGCTTCACCCATCACACTACCATGCCAGCCCCAGATACTCTCTTTTTCTTTTCTCTCTTATCCCTCCCTCCCTCTCTTCCCCCCACAAATAAACACACAAAAATGTGTAAGACTAAGTTTTGGGGCAGGCACTGTGGTTCAGCGAGTTAACGCCCTGGCCTGAAGCGCTGGCATCCCATATGGGTTCCTGGCTCCTGGCTTCGGAATGGCCCAGTTCCGGCCGGTGCGGCCAATTGCGGAGTGAACCATTGGACGGACGACCTTTCTCTCTCTGCCTCTCCTTTCTCTGTGTAACTCTGACTTTCAAATAAGTAAATTAAAAAAAAAAAAAAAAAACAAAAAAACACTAAGTGTTAATTATGGAGATTTAATTGCTATTCTTTTAACTGTAATAATAGAAAAGTTCTGGTATTGTAGCCAAGATGTAGTTAAGAAAACTGCATCTATCATTTTAACTTAAAATAAGCATATTAGAAATGCAGAAATTGTCTACCTCTTTGGGGAGTAATTCAGGCACCAAGCAAGGTTTCACAGAGCAGGTGACAGAACTCACTACAGAGAAGACAGAAATCACACAAAGCTTATGATACAAGATTGAGATCCTATGTATCAAAAGTAAAACGGTGTTGAGGGAAAAAACAAAGCACTCTCCTTTTCTATAGTCTGACAACACTTCATACTTGACTTTTGGTCAACCAAATGCTAGATTTTTTTCTACACCAACCAATTCTCTGCTACCAGCTGAGTGTCCTATAATCCGATCTGATGCAGACATTATCTATGTGGGATAAGAATCAGATCACACAGGTAAAGGGCTCAGTCTCCCAAGACTGCCTCTATTCACGTGCAAATCAAAATCCAGGCTTCTGGTACTCTGACCTTCTAGCTATAAATCGGGGGTTCCCATCAGGCAACCCAATTGTTTGTTAAAATGGCTCTCAGGACTCAGAGAAACATTTCACTTAGGTTTACTCATTTATTGCAAAAAGATAAAATTCAGGAACAAGCAGTCAGAAGAAATGCCACAGGGCAAGGTTGGAGGAACAGGCACTGCCCTTCCGGCCTCTCTAGGAGTGCTACCCGCCACGCCTTCAGCAGCCCAGAAGTTCTCCATCATGTAGGTACAATCAACTACTAACGCAGTCTCCAGCCCCTCTCCATTCCCAAAGGATGAGGGTTGGGCCTGAAAGTTCCTGGCTTCTAATTGTGGTTTGGTCTTCCTGGTGACTAGTCCCCATGCAGGAGCCCAGAAGGAGTCCATCACTCAGGAAAACCTCAGGGATTGGCTGCTCCTTGTCAGGAACTGGGGTCAAAAACCACTAGGCAGACCCCCATGTGCATGACTCAGGAAATTAAAACATTCTAGTTCTGTGCCAGGAACTAGGAGCAAAGACCAAAGATACAGTTTTAATTACTTCACAGAAAGACAACTGTTAAATCCTTGAAGGTCTTGTCTTTTTGTGCTTTTATGTGTGAGATTTATTTGTAAGGCAGAGTTACGGGGAGGCAGGGGGTGGGAGAAATTTTTCCATCCACTAGTTCACTCCCCAAATGACAACATTGACTGGGACTGGGCCAGTCCAAAGTCAAGAGCCTGAAACTCCAGCTGGGTCTCCCACTTGGGTGCAGGGGTAATCTTCCACTGCTTTCTCAGGTGCATTAGCAGGGAGCTGGTTTGGAAGATTAGAAGTGGAGCAGCTGGGACTCACACAGGTGCCCATATAGGATCCCAGTATCACAGGCAGCAGCGTAATCCACTGTGCCACAACACTGGCTCTTTTGAATGTCTTTTCTAAAAATTCATCTATTTAACACAGGAAACTTATCACTTAAACAAGAAATATACAGTAATAGAAAAAATCAGAAGGTTAAAATAGAATACATGTATTTTAAAGAACTGAAATGTAAGTGCTTTGTACTGCTAAAAAGACCCCATATGTTATATGTCTAATACAGACGGCAAATATAATAACTGGAGAATAGGGAACAGTTCCTAAGGCAAATTTTTACAGATTTATTTATTTGAAAGGCAGAGTTAGAGAGAGAAGGAGAGAGAGAGAGATTCTTCCATCTTGCTGGTTCACTCCCCACATGGCTGCAACAGTTGGAGCTAGGCTGATCTGAAGCCAGGAGCTTTTTCTAGGTCTCCCACGTGGGTGTAGGGGCCCACGGACTTAAGTCACCTTCCACTGCTTTCCCAAGCAATAGCAGAGAGCTGTACTGGAAGTAGAGCAGCCGGGACTCGAACTGGCGCCCATAAGGAATGCTGGCATGGCAGCTTGTGCGGGCCAGCCACACCAGTTGAACAGAAATTGAAGGGGGGGCGTGGGAATGAAAAGAGGGACAAGGGCGCAGAGAATGGAGCCAAGACAATGAACTGATCAAGGCTCGTTTATTCCAGCGTCTCAGAGATATTTATACATAACCAGCTGCAGCTCAAGGCAACACAGAAGTTAACAACACATGCAAGCAACTTATCGGGCTTTCTGCAACAGTCATAACATAGTTAATTTTAACAGAGTGCATCCTCCTTCAACATGGGAGTACGTGACTTCCTCATCCCAGGAATTCCACAAGCCAAGACTGACCTTGTCTATGATTTGTCTATGGGCTGCCTACAGCAGCTTAACACACTGTGCCACAATGATCCATTCTTTTTAAGATTTACTTATTTATTTGAAAGGTAGAGTTTCAGACAGGGTGGATTACAGAGAGAGAGGTCTTCCATCCACTGGTTCACTCCCTAAATGGCTGCAATGGCTCGAACTGTGCCGATCTGAAGCCAGGAGCCAGGAGCTTCTTCCAGGTCTCCCAC